CCCCCTGCGCCAAAACCCATCTGCACAAACGCGTCAAACGCGTTTACCCGCCTTCAGTGAACGTGCGTTCACCACGGCACCTGAGTCCTTGACCCGTTGGCATGTTGACATTTAMAGATCTGCCCAGTCATARGATGTTCTTTAGTGGTATGRCGGGGGGCCAGCAGATGTGCATRGGAGYCAGTGGGTGTTCAGGTCATGAGGTGCAAGAACTGATTATCATTCAGCCGATATAMYYTTCACTGYTGTCTTCATTATGTCGATCAGACGGTGAAAAAAGAAACAGTGTCAAAGTCTTGCAATGAGCTTGCCGCACTTACATGCAACAACATAGTAAGTTTTATCTATTTGAATTTTGACATCTGTTTCTGCAAAACTTTTGAAGGATGATTTGTATTGAATACACACAAACTTTTTGCGAAATTCTTGTTTACTCTTCTGTTTGCAGGCTTGTGCTTACTTTCTGTCCCCTTATCTTTTTTTCTTTTTTCTTTTTTTTAATCTTCTTTTCCTCTTCCCCCCCCCCCCTCCAAAAAAAAACGAGGCTCCCTGCTTATGTTGTTGTGAAATGGGTCTGCCAGAATATTAGATGTTGTGCAACTGTACTTGGTCAGAGAGAGAGGGAAAATGCAAAGCAGCAGATGGTATCCATAAGGTTCCTTATGGGATACACAGTTCATCTCGTCTCCGTGAGCCCGACGCTATGTGGAGTCCCTGGGGGGAGAGACGGACGAGGAGGGAAAATGCATAGCAGAGGACGAGGACCCATGGAACAGCAGCAGAAGCAGAAGCAGAAGCAGAAGCAGAAGGAGAAGCAGAAGCAGAAGCAGAAGAAGAAGCAGGAGGACTCGTAGGAGGGGGAGAGATGGACGAGGAGGGAAAATGCAAAGCAGCGGATGAGGACCCATGGAACAGCAGCAGCTGCAGAAGCAGAAGCAGAAGCAGGAGGACTCAGGGGGGGAGTCGGGGGAAGAGGGGGAAGATGACTAGGACGTGCAAAATGAGGAGAAGGTGGACAATGACAAGGGACCAGACTGGAAGGAGCAAGATGAGGACTGAGAAAAATATGTGGAATGAGGAGGATAGGAGAGGAGTAGGAGGCTAGGAGGATGAGAACACACTTCAGCACGGATAGACACATGCCATCTGTTTCCTGATCAGCACCTTATTGTTTGGAATCAAAGGACATTCAAATTCCTTTTTTCGCTGCCTCGAGTATTACACACCGGTCCGCCGCAATTGCAATTTTGTTAGTCTCCCTCTGACAATCATCAGGCCTAACTTGAGGTAACCTGCACCTGTTACTTCAAAGTTGCAAGCCCCTTCTCACCTTCATCAACTGTCTTCATTGTGTTCATTTTGTTCATTGTGTTTATTGTGTTCATTGTGTTCATTGTGTTCATTGTGTTCATGCTTTGCAGCACTGCAACTGAAGTCTCTCAGCAAAGCATCATGGACACAATGAACACTGAAGTGTCTCGACCTTAAAACTTTATACTTAACATAATCTAACTCAGTCTGATTTTTAAGGTAGGCCCTTACACTGATCACAACCCATAGACACCGTCAAGACAACCCCATATTAATCAGTCCGAAGACAGCCGAAAATCAGCCTTCAGAATGTCTTACTTGTAAGTTACTACTGCATTATTTAAGACAGTAGTCTTTTAAAAAGAACATGAAAAGCACGACACATTCTGATCTAACTGCTGTACTCAATTCTGAATCAGATGTCGATCGTAACATTAAGGGGTATGTGACTTGAAAACCTTGGGCATGCCTACTCCATTACGTCTATATAACCTTGTACCTGCATGCTCAGTTGAGAATTGGGATCTATTCCATTTCGTCTATACCCTATACCTATTCCATTCCGTCTATACCCTAAACCTATTCCATTCCGTCTATACCCTATAATATCTATTCCATTCCGTCTATACATTCTCATCACAGGTATGGAGTCCAGTGTGCTAAATAATTGAACACGACCATTGGTAGCCTTCTGCTGGGTATCATTGACCCTACCCTCTTCCTGGAGTCACTTCATCCAATGCAACTGTGCCACTAACTACAGTCTTCACCTGAATAGAACGCCCGGTAATGATCGCCGTATCTGGGCTGAGAGTTGTGCCAAATACAGCTATAATGACCGGGCGTTCTATTCGGGTGAAGATGGTAGTGCCACCTGAAATCTACGCAAGTTTCAAAAGCTCTGCACCAAAGAATGCTGGTCAGAAGTAAAAAGATCAGTAGAGAAACTATTTCACCATTCTTCAACAACACATAAGAACCGTACTGTACAAGAAAACCACGAAACACAAAACGTAATTTATCACTCTGAAACAGATTGCAGCCCATATCAAAGCGATTTTGCACACCTTCTGGTTGTTCCTTTCCTCATTCCTTTCATTTTCCATTTTTTTTTCCAAGTAATGTCAGCGATTAGCTGTACTGTAGTAGAAACAAGAAAGAAAAACAAAGTAGTCGGGTACATATTCCAGCTAAAAATGCGTTCAACATACACGCCATGCTCTTGACATCAGATGATTGAATTAGAGAGCTGCATGCAGAGCGCACTCACTGTGTTGAGGAGAGATTGGATCCACTCACTTCTCTGATATCGCTTTATACAGCACCTGAAGAAATGACGGAATTGCGAGTTGCACGGATGTGCAGCCTGCGTCGATAGTGACAGCTTAGGCAGGTCTCTCCAGGAGCGCTTCTCTTGTTCTGTCAGGAGGGCTTGCCACATCGCCCAAGATCCCCGCAAGATTTTAAGTCTCTGAATGGGTTGATGACTATATCACAGCAAGGTTTTGGATCTTAGCCAGGAGCTTCAGCTCTGCATATCTCCTATCGTACTCCTCCTTCGATGCCAGTTCCTTCTGCGCACAGAACCATGCCCAGGCCTCACTCACATGCTTTTTGAGATCCGTGTGGCCCATGCTGGATGAACCTTGGGCTCGCAATCCTACGATGAAGTCCCGCAGCCTATTCTCAGAATCTTTAGCTGCCCAGATCCTTCCGTCCTCCGCTTTTGCTTGTGGCATGTACCAGTCCGTTTCCTCTCCGACGTCGGCCAAGCCCTGCACAAAATCCGTATCGAGTGTGATGGTGGTTTCGACCTTTCTCCCAATATCTTCATGGTTTGCAACCGCCTCTGCTGTCGCATGGAGGATCCCGTTCTCGTCTATTTTGATCACGGCCTCGATCGATTCATCCACGGTTGCAAGGCACGGAATGAAACCGTCCAGCTTGAGTTCACCAAGCAGCCGGTTATTTCTACAGAGAGCACGGTCACCTTCATACAACGTCGTCCAAACTGACTTCTGGAAGTCCATTAAGACAATATAGGCACTCCCAGTTGCTGGAAGGGGAGAGTTTCTAGGAATAACCACATGCATAACGCCAAAACTTGTCCCAACCCCGATACTGACCGATGTGACATCACGAACGGATATGGATGCCTTTGCGCACTTATCTCGTCTGGCCAGCAAGCCGGCTTGTACTGCAGCTCCAAATGCCACAGCCTCATCAGGGTTGACAGACTTGATGGGGGGCTTGCCGAAGAATGCCATCAGCATCTCTTGCAATTTTGGAATCCTTGTGGATCCACCCGCCAGCAGCACCTCAGAGATCTCGCCCTTGCTGATCTTCGCATCACGAAGAGCTTGTTCGACGATCGTCATGCACCTGTSGAACAGGTCTTGGTTCAGGGCCTCGAACTTGGTGCGCTCCAATCTCACGGTGAGGATATCATCACCACCACAATCCAGGTCGATCTCCGCCTCCGTTTTGACGGACAGATCATGTTTCGCATCCACGACCAGCTGGTTGAGCTTTTTGCGAATCCTTGGCTTGACCAGCAAATCTTCCCTTTCAAGCTGACTCCTGAACTGCTCTGCTACGTGCTGAAAGAGCCGTTTGTCTATATCTGTTCCCCCAAGATGCGAGTCTCCTGCGACTGCTTTCACTACAAATGTGAAGTCATTTTCAGTCCCCTCTTTCATGGTGACAACGGAGACGTCGAATGTACCCCCACCCATGTCAAACACCAGGACGTTCTTCCCGACCACAACAGAGACATCGGAAGTTCCCCCACACATCTCGGACACCGGGACGTTCTTCCCCACTGCATCTACAGCCCGCCTAATCAAGCTCTCTCGATATTCATCCCAGCGATCGTAATTCCGGCAATCAAGTTTAAAGTGCCCAACTTCACCGCAGCGCCAGCATGCCATATTCGGACAATCGCGTTTATAGTGCCCCAGTTCATCGCACTCCCAGCATCTTTCCCCATATGTCCTTCCTCCACCATAGCTACTCCGAATCACTGGCGGATGCCCATTCACCACTGAGTCTCCTCCAACGGTCTTATTCCCTATCAACCGCTGATGGCCGTAAGCCAGAGCAGCGGCCGTAGGTTCACTAATCAGCCGCAGCACATTTAATCCTGCACTGACCCCGGCGGCCATAGTCGCCTTCCTCTGACGGTAGTTAAAGTACGCAGGTACAATGATGACCGCATCCTTAATCGGACGGACATTGGCGTAGTCCTCCGCAATGGACTTCATCTTCTTTAGCAACGAGGCGGAAATTTCTTCTGGTCTGTATTCCTTCTCACCGACATTAACAAAGAATTTTGCCAAGTGGACCCGATGACAACTTGAAAGGACACCTCTGTGAATCTTGCTGGACGGAGGCATCGCGAAATGATTGCACCATTAACCTCTTGACCTCGAATATGCACTGCTCCGGATACTTCATGCCATGTTTCCTCGCAGCCTCCCCCACCAGACAAGTGTCCTTATCACAGAATGCCACGTAGGATGGTGTTATCCTGGCCCCGAGTTCATTTGGAACGATTTCGATCTTGTCCATGTTGAAAACCACAGCAGCACAGAAGTACGACGTGCCGAGATCTATGCCAAGGACTGGATTGTTTTCCATGGCGGATCCCCTTTCAATCAAACAATTGCGGGGGTGGGTAAAGGACTCCAATGGTTGTCCTTGACACTTCTGCTTTGACTGTCAGAGTCCTTACCATTGTATATTAGACTGTCAAACACAGCTCGGGGCCACATAAAGGCAGTAGTTAGCTCCACTATGCTCTGGACGATCCGTTGACCAACAACTCCACTATGTGTAACCAAGGGCAAAAGTAGTTAGCACCATGTTCATTGTTCAACACCAACACACACAAATACAGGCAGTGTCAGGCACATATCCAGAAACAGTTTAAACTGCACATACCTATATAATACTTTTTTTTTTTTTTTTTTTTTTTTTTGAAGAAAACAGAACCTCGTGGTTCTGGCTCCTACCATTATGGGGAGCGACCGTCCGGTTCCTATTCCATTGGCAAGTCAATATGTGATACATTTGAGACTCACGCACGCTCCTCCCCTTTATGGTTGGGAGGCCCGAGTGGATGGCATTGATTACTTCCTTGTGGAAGGATATACCCTCCCTCACCTCTGCATAAGTTAGCCTGCTCTGCCTATTCTGGTTGACTCTTGCTAATCTGGTTGGCCTCGGTCCTGCTCCTCTCAGCTGTACTGCTGCCGGGTAGATGTGCTATGCTAAAGAGGACTGAGGAACTTGCGGACTTCCTGAAAACCTTGAACCTTGGACCGTAATTATCTTGAATCTGTCCGAATCCTTACTTTTTGTCTATTTGTCCTCGGTTTGTCTTTTCCTTGCTTGCCTTGATTCTATCTAGACTCCAGACCCTTGGCTCTGTCTAAACCTTAAACCCTTAGACTTTTAACCTCCCTTGGCTCGTGTCCTTCCTTGAGCAGTATCCATGAAAACCCCAGAGGGGGGTTTTCTCGCCTTGCATTTGGAGTTGTCTATCTTTCCTTCTCCTGATGGAACCTGTGCCCTCAGTGTCCCTACTGTTTATTCTTCTTCAATGGCGGGTCTGAGATCTAAGGATATGTTTGGTGTGGGGATTGATTGGATTTTGTGTGGGTATTCTTTGTAGAGCTGGTGTTGTGGTTTAAAGGATGGTTGGATTGTGGGGGATTTGATAAGCTTGATGTGGTGGGTGTGTCAAGAGGATGTGGGGGAGGGTAATGGAGGTGTGTCGGGGTTTGATAGGGGAGATTTGAGGAGTGTCGGTAGCGTGTAAGGGAGGGAGGTGGTTGGAGCGAGGTTGTTGGGCTGGGACCGGGGGTGGACTTTGTTAACTCGATCTTGGTTTAGTGGTGGGTGGCTGGTTTGGGAATGGTTGAATGCGGGGTAGGGGTGGCATCGGGGCGCTTTGTGCAAAAGTTAAGTTCAGCCAATTTTTTAGAGTTAGTCGGGCACTGTTGATTGAGCCTAGTTTCCCATTCCCTAGCTTGGAGGTTACAAACTTTTTAATTGTTTCACTTTTTTTGTCGGGGTCAGTGGGGAGGTTGTTGAGTTGTTTTTTCCAGAGGGCTTGGATTTCGGTGTCTATAAGTTG